GCCGGTCCCGGCTTCAGCGAGGCCGCATTAAAGGAGAACACCGAGCTGAAGGTCGACAAAGTGACCATGACGAGGGAGCTTCACAAGTACAAGAAGCACCTGACATCGGCCGAGAAGGACCTTGAAAGCTACCGACAGCAGATGATGGAGTTACAAGAGAGGGCCAAGAAGAAGTACGCGGACCAGAAACAACTAGCTGAGATTGAGCGACTGCAACAGGCCTTGGAGGATAGAGAAGCTGATCTCGACGACATGCAGCGCCAATTGAGTCAGGGACAGAACGATCAAGGGCAGGTGGACAAGCTACAAGATGAGATTGGTGACCTAGAAGCAGAACTTCGCGAGAAGGAGCGCCTTCTAGGAGATCACGAAGATGAAATTGACGAGCTCAAGGCGAAGCTGGACAACGCGGAGGACAAGATGAAGGATGCGCAAAGACGAATGATCGAGCTTGAGCAACAGGGACAGTCTAACGACGATTTGGAAGAAGCAAAAGACACTATCGACGACCTGGAAACCAATGTCCGTCGCTTGGAAGAGCAGGTCGAAGAGATGAAAGACAAGCTCAACCAGGCCATTGCAGACAAGGAGCAAGCAAAGGGTGACTTGGAAGAACTTCAAGAGGAGCTGGCGAACAAGTCTATTGCCACAAAGGGACTCTCGCGACAAAAGGAGGAGAAGCTTTTGCGCCTGCAAGCCGAGCTGGAGGAGTCCGACACGAGATTCGCCAATATCGAACAGCAGCTTTCTGAAACAATCAAGGAGAATGACGAACTCAAGAACGCTGCCAAGGAAGATCGCCGTGCCCGCGAAGCTTCTGAGCGCGACTACCAGTCACAGTTGGCCAGAATCGAACAGCAGCTCTCAGACGTAACGACAGAGAAAGAAAGCCTTAGGAATGCCGCGCACGAGGGCCGTCAAGAACGAGATTTCTCTGATCGCGAACGTCAGTCGCTGCTGGCTCAAGTGGAAGATCTGAAAAGGGATTTGGAGGCCAGGTTGGACGAGAAGAATCTGCTGCAAAGTCGTCACGAGGCGTTGACAGGCGAGTCTGACTCTCTACAACGAGATGTGGCGCGCCTTCAAAAGAACGTGGATGAATTGGAGGAGAGCCTCGCCCAAGAGCGGGACCACGCCCTCGAGATCGAAAGGGATATCCGCAGCCAATACAGAGACGAAATCGACAGGCTTAATGACGAGATCTCGGACCTCCAGGCTGAAATTCGGGAAAAGGACAACCTTTACGACAACGACAGCGAAAAATGGGAAACAGACCGCCAAACCCTTGACTCGGAGCGCAAACGGGCGGAAGAGAAGGCCTCGGGCTTGGAAAGGACGATTGCAGCACTGCGCGAGGCTGAAGGCAACCTATCGACAAAGGAATCAAGGTTACAGGAAGCACTAGAGAGCGAAGCTCAACGTCACAAGGATGAGAGAGCATCCCTCACAAGGCAAATTGAGGACCTTCAGCAAAATCTCGAGACACGGCAGTCTATGCTCAATGAGTTGCGGAATGAATTATCACAAGTTCAGGATGAACTCCGTCAAACCCAGCTAGACTATCAAGCGCAGAGCGAGAAAATCGAGGGGTTGGAGGATGAAGTGGAGGTCCTTCAGACGACTTTGGACGAGGAATCGGAACACTCTCGCGAGGAACTGGAAGCTGCAAGGAAAGAGTGTGACGCGCTGAAGCTGGAGCTTGATGAGGTACACCGTGGTACGGCCTCGTTCTCTCAAGAGCACGCTAGCAAGTCAAATCAAGCCATTGAACGACTCCGAGTCCAGCTTGACGAGGCCACGTCACTCGTGTCGAAGCTGAACAAGGAGAAGGAAATACTCCAGGACAGGCTGCAAACTCAAATCTCCGAGTCTACTGTGCAGGTGAATAGGGTGTCTCGCGAGAAGCAGACGCTGCAAGACCAACTTGCTAACCTCAACCTCGAAATGCACTCGTTACGCAGCTCACTGGCCGAAGCAAGGGCAGAGCGTGATGAGGTTGAGAGCGAAATGAAGCGCTTGCACCAGAACGGCGAGGAGACACTCCGCATCGATCGCGAGCGCTTGGACTTGAGGACGTCAAAGTTGAAGCTTGACAATGAGGTACGGAGACTCAAGGACGAGAACGCGGCTCTGGCGGAGCAAATGCAGAACGTCGAAAAGTCTCTTGAAGATGAGATCGAGAAGGCTGCAGAAGAGGAGGATCGCCTCAACCAGGAAATTCGTCAGCTTCAAGCCAAGTTGAGGGAGGTGTCTTCATCGGAAGGTCACGAATCAGTTGCCACACGACGCACAATACGAGAACTCGAACGGCGAATTAGAGACTACGAAGACCAGCTCGCGACGACCCAACAACTCCCCGCTAACATCGGTGAGGGTAACAGCGAGATGTCCATTATCCGCCGTGATCTCTCTACGGCACGACAGAAGGAGCGGGATCTTCTCCAACGTGAGGCAGCCCACAAGGATGTTGTCAAGGGTCTCAAGAAGCAAATCGCAGACCTGGAGCGCAATGCCCACGATGCTGAGATGTCCCGCCTTATTACGTCCCCAGCATCCTCGAGTCCTTCAGCCAGGAAATCCGAAGTCACTGAGTTACGCCATCAGCTTTCTACAGCACAGCAATCGATTCAGACGTTCAAGACCAAGGCTCGCGAGGCCGAACGCAAAGCATCTAAATTCGAGCAAGATGTCCAGACCCAGCTTGATGATCTGGAAGATCAGAAGCTTGCTTTAGAGCAGGCACTGGAGGATGTACAGCGCGATGCCGACGAAGCTACCGTTCTCCACGAAAAGGCTCTCCGTCGTCTGAAGCAGAAGCTTGAGAAGGCAGAACAAGACAGGCAGCTTGTGGCCCACGGGCGTCACAACATCGAGAACATGTCGTCCTCCGAGAAGAGAGACCTTCAGGAGTTGCTCCGCAGAACGCAAAGCGAAGCAGACGCGCTCGAACACGACGTCATCCAGCAGCAGGAGACCATTGATGAGCTGACGGCCGCTGAGGGCTCGCTTCGTCGCAAGCTCGAGAGGGCGCGGGCGGAGCGCGCAGCGTACCGCCTAACCGCAGAGAAGCTGCAAAAGGACATCAGAGACCTCAAGGCACTGGCCGCAGCGGAGAAGAAGAACCCGCGGGCAGCCCGACTCGCCGCCGAGACGGACGAGAGAATGAGGCAGACGGACGAGGCACTCGAGACGGTCATCCGCGCCGCCGAGAACGCAGACGCGAAGCACACCAAGGAGCTCCGCGGCATGACGCTGCAGATGGAGTGGATGCAGGCGCGGTGGAAGCGTGAGGTCAGCATGCGCGCCGACGCGGCGTACGCAAAGAAGTTCTTGCAGCTGGAGCTCGACATTGCCAACGCATGGTATGTACCCTTAACTGCCTACTTCTTCTTTTCTTTAGTGGTCCGGATACTAACGTCAGAATCAGCAACAAGGCTCAGCTGCGTGAATTGGAGCAGATCCGCTGCGAGCTGCTCGGCAGCCGCCGGCCCCTTCCACCCTCATCCTCCTCGACAACGGCGCGGAAGCAAACGGCGTCTGGTCGACCGACGCTCAAGACGGTGGCGACGATGGCGCGTTTCATTGCCAGGATGCAGATCTCTGCGCGCGAATGGGCCAAGCACGAGGCCACGCGCCAGAAGCTGGCCGACTGCGTCGACGAGATGCGCAAGACCAAGAGGCGGCAGCAGCTCAAGGTCGTGCATGCCGACGACGTTGCGGCATGATAGGTTCTCGGTCGCAGTCTCTCTCTGTCTTTCTCTCTATTCGGTCTCACCTAGCCTCGACTTGGAGGTCTAGCCAGATTACGTTACACCTCTATACCCCGGAATATGGTGTTCCCGAAGGGAAACTACGGTGGATGAATGGGATGGTGAATGGTGAATGGCGGTTCGGATATCTGCGAGAGTAACCCTCTCATCTGCGAAACGCCTTCCCCATTCATCACGTTGCAGCCGAGCTGAAGATGTTACGGCATCATCTCGGGTCCATCACACACACCCTTGCGCACATCCCATTCCATCCCCATCCAATCCCGCTCTCACCTGCTTCCCTCATTCAGCAACGTCCGCAATTCGCATTTCGCATTTAGCATATGGTGCTCAGTCTTGTTCTTGTTTCTGCATAGCAGCAGCCGGTTGTGTTACAGTATTCCTGCCTAACTGTGTGACGGCACAAAAGAAACCCCTTGATGTTGCAGTGAAAGCGAGCGAGCGGGCACTCTCCTTTCCTCTTTTGGAGCTGATGATCGTCCACGTTTGGAAGATGGGATCTGCAAGCTAGCCCTAGAATGGGACGGAGGATTCACTGGGGGAGTGGGAGGAGAATGGAAAATCAGGACGATTATTGGTTCCCTGCTTGGCATATCTTATTTGCTGCTCATGTCCCCTCTTGTGGCGTATTGGGCGTCGAGCATTAAAACATTTGTTTTTTTTCCCTTGAAGTTGCTTTATTGGTAGAATGACTGGGCGAAGAGGGACGGACGGACGGGATGGGAAAGGAGTTTTTGTCATATTTCACTTTGTTTGGGTCTACGCAGTAGGACATGAATTTTCCAAACACGGCATTAGGTTGCATGATGAAGAAATTGGAAAAGGAGGCATAGGTACCTAAACAGATGCTTAATTCCCCTTCTTTCTAACGCACATTGCAACATTGCCGAATTCATCCCGTATCGAAGTGACGTGAATCAACTTTTATTTGATTTCCAGTTCGAAGAACTAGTCGAGTGAGGGTAGGTAGGTTTACTTGGCATCTTAACTATACGAGACGCGGAAAACGGCGTCGAGAGTGTGGCAGAAAAGACCTGCCTAAAAAATAAAACGAAACCACCCAAATGATACCCAAAACCCTCACTTTTCGCCATCCCACCGATTCCTTTTCCAATGATGACCTATGCCTACCCATGTCTAACTAACCCTGAGTATTTATGTTTCCAGGCCGAAGTAGGGCATTATGACATATACAAGGCGGACCGGCCGTTTGACACACAGGATTATGATTTACATGACGAACAAGAGGTTGGTATCTGCGATGATGTTAGACGTGGTAATAACACAGATGTTCATTCGCTTCTTCCGGGAGGCAACATACTGAGGGGGTGACTGCATGAGAGCTGCGGCTTCTGCGTGTAGCGACTCGCGAGCTCGTCACGGATACTGTTCAAGAGCTGTACGTAGCTCTGTTGTGGGTTCTTCTTCATGGCCGTGATGAAGGCCCACGACATGGCGCCGGTAGCCTGGGAGGCGATTGTTGCATCGGCCCTGCGAGGTGAGATTAGCATAGATCCAGCTTGCACGGAAAATCGGCTTGATGTCGTCTCGTTTCCACACTCGTAGACCGAGGCAGATCCAACGTAACTCGTCGCTCTAGAAGCAAACCGCAGCCGCAAGTAGGCTGCAACTTGCTCTAGAGCAATAAAAGAGTATCGTTGGCCTGGCGCAACATGTATAATGTAGAAACATGAAAAGAAAATATCCAGAAAGAGACTTGCGCGCCCAAAACTTTTCCGTTTTTGTGGCTTTCGCCTTTCACTCCCAGTCTCCAGAATTAGCCATCCCACCAGGAGAGGCGATACACGCAGGAACTCTTTGTAGAATCTCCATAGAATCCGTAAAGCGCAACGAAAACGAAAAGGGTATCATCAAAATAGAAAGAAGGGGGTAGCATACGAAGTTTGGTCATCTTTGCTTCCTGACAACATAATCACGTCAGCAGGCGACGTCTTCGTGGCCATGGTGCGTTGGTAGGCATCTTCGCCGGTCGTTGCCTTCTTAAAGAAGCCCATGATGTTGCTTGCGACACCGCCCAGATCGCCCTGGCTGTATGACGAAATAGCACCGAGAAGGCCTTGGCCGGCCTCCTTGGCCAAATTGGGCTCCTTGAGGATACCCTGGGTCGAGTAGATGTAAGGGAGATCGAGCGCAGTACCCGAGTGACAAGAGTCGAAGATAGCAGTCAGTCTCACACCAGCTTGCAAAGGTTGAACCATGATTCTGTGCATCTCATCATCCGTAATATGACCGGTTTGGCGGAAGTCTACGGGGTAAATGACTTCATCGTATCCGTCAGGCTCATCGCCGTCGAGATCCTTTGTTTGACCACCATGCCCTGGAGGTGTTAGAGTCTAACTACATGGTGGAAATGTCTTTCGCGACTTACCTGAGTAGTGGAAGAAGAGCGAGTCGTTGGGTCTCGCGTCTTTCACGAGCCAATGCATGGCTCTGAGGAGATTCTGTTTCGTAGGCTGGCTCATGGGATTTTGCTGGTCATCAGTGAGGATAACCATATCCTCCCTCTTATAACCAAAACGGTCGACGAGATATGCTGACATGTTCTTCACATCATTGATACAACCACGCAACTGACCGCGTTGACCGAAGTAGTTGATGCCAATCAGCAGCGCCTTTCTCCGCCCGGTACAATTGGAGTACTGGAAGTTGTAGTTACTTGGCGCGCCATGTCCAAATCTCTGCGGTTGTGAGGGCGGCGGTGGAGGAGCGTTATGGTTTCCGTGCATGTAGGCATTCGAGTTCACGGTGGGTACACCTTCATAGCGATGGTTGTCAACTCTACAATGTCCGTTTTAAGCGCACAACTTCCAAACTCACCTGGACGGTTGTTGTAATTCGGTTGAGGCGGGGGCTGCTGATATCCACCATATTGTTGCGGAGGAGGGGGCTAGGCATTACATCAGTTGACGACACTTGGACAATGCTGGTAGTCACCCGTACCTGGTTGTAACCATAGGGTTGAGGGGACGGCTGTTGGTAGCCGTAGCCCGACCCAGCGGGAGGGTATCCATTGTATCCTTGCTGTGGAGGGCTTTTGCTCTTCATGTTAGTGACTGAGAGCGGGCACGCGAACAAAGATCGGAGTTCATACGGGTAATAGCCGCCCTGCGCGTATTGCTGCTGCGGCGGTGGGCCGCCTTGGTATCCTCCGTACTGGCCCGGGTATCCTGACATCTTGTTGAGACGGCGAGACTATTCTCAGACCCGATTTATGTGTATTTGATGACCCGAGGCCAACAAGCCGTGGTGGGAGGAGGTTCTAGCTCGACGAGATGGTCTTCGAAAAGGAGTGGGTTGACAGGGAAGATTTCGGGGACTGGATGTCTTTATAGATGCGCGACGAAGCTGAAGTACGGTTGTCGCGAGTTCAGAGAATAGTGAGGGGAAGCGAGGGGGTCGTGATTGAGGTGTAGGGACGGGATGAGAATGCGCGTGCTTAGGTCTCGAGACTAAGTTGGTGAGCACAAGAGCAGTGTCAGCCTTTCTCGAGCGCGAAACTGGTTGGAGGAGCGTGGACAAGCTTACCAGTGCCTTACGATATGAGGAGGAGGAGGGCTAGCTGAAGGGCCTATCTCAAAGCGGGAAAGGGATCCTGCAGCAAGGGTGGCTAAGGACCCTAGTTGACTCTTTTGATGGTTTGGAGCCGGCTTGTGAGACGGATTGGGGTAGAAGACGGCTTCGGCAGAGCTTTGGTAGACGGAGGTACAGTTGGGTAGGTAGATTTGAGATGGACGATGATTCAGTAGCTGGGCGCAACAGAGGAGTGAGCTGGTGTGGCAGTAAAAAGAAATGACGGCGCGGATATGCAATACAGCCTCGGAAAGAAAGCGAGCTGAGGTGATGGGAGAAGGAGAAAATGGAGGTGAACGGAGTGTTCGGGTTGGAGGAGCGAAGAAATGTGAGGAATGTAGAATGTGCTGGAGTATCGGTCAGGTAAGGTAGGAGCAGGGTGCCTCAAGGCTCAAGATGCGCCGCGGCGTTGCGGCGCTGCGGCGTGGGTGTGTGGTGGAGGGGTTCGAGCTAAGGTTGTCGGCACGCACCAGGTCCACTGTCCAGCACCTTCACCCTTTCCTGGCTGGGCTGAAGGTGTTTTGGGCCTTTGGCGGGGAGGGGGGTGCCGAGGGAAGAAACAATCTAACCACACAACATACCTTACCTACCTTAGCTTATAGGTACACTACAAAGTATCACACTCACTGCAACTCAGTAGGTACCTATTGAGGCACCGTCAAGAGCACGACTTAACAAGCACGAGACCAAGTATGAGATCCAGGTAGTAAAGTGGAAAGGGATTCGCAAAGTGGAGGTAGATGATGAGTGTAGGGCTAACAAGACTACGTAATGTTGGATCAGTCGTCGTAGGCGCCGAGGAAAGCAACGGCATGTGGCAGGCCGGGCACCATAGCGATTGGACTTTGACGGAAGAAACGGCAGAGACGGCCTCAAAGCCCAAGTTCCCAAGAGTCTTTTGCTAGCGGAGGTGGATCCGAGTACCTCACAATCCGCCCACCTCTCACTACAGTGCAGTGCATGGGAGCATCTGATGTGTTTGATGGTGTTTTTTTGTATACATTAGCTAAGCAAGCATGACTGGGGCAGGGTCTGCACCTAAGGGTAGTCTGCACCGGAGATGCTCTTGCACTTGGGGAAAAAACGCAGGGCAGGTGGCAGGTGCCCAGGCAATCAGCCACGAGCACGGGCCATACCAAGGCCGTTCCCAGCCCGGTGAGAACCGAGAAATGGGGCACAGTTGACAGCGCTAGTCCCTTTTTAGGGTTTTCCTGTATGTAAACAGCACTTGCTGCGATGCCACCATGTCACCATGTGATGGACGTCGCGCCCATCGTCCCTACCTTACCTTGGTACCTTACCGTTCCTACCGTCCCTGACCTGGGTGACTGGGGCTCGGTGCCACCGCTCCTGCCCTGCCCTTCTCCTGCGGCTTGCCATGCATACCGAGTACGTAGCATACCTTACGCAGTACGGCAGTAAGGTAGTACTTCGTACGGAATATTGCGTGCAACCTTCGGACTTTTCTCTGCATCTTCGTCATTGCCATAGTCGGGTGTTCACCAAGGAATACGGTGCAAGGGACCTCCAGATTGGCACACTCGGACTGCAAATCTTGTTGCCCATTGCCCTCCAAGGTTTCGCATTCCTCTCTCCGAGTCTTCACTCTTCAGCCTACTCGCCAATCCAAGACAACCCTTGCACTATCTTCAGCCGCAATCATTCTCAACTCGATATGTGACTTGGGGAAACGGAATCTTAGGTTACCTACTTCATTCCCCGAGACGTCTCGGCAGCGGTCACCAAAACGGAACCGCACCAAAGCAAAGCATGTTCAATATGGGAACGAACCGCAGACTAACCACCTACCACCTCGCCCTCCCTCCCTTACACAGTTGACCCTAGCCCACAGGGGCACCAAGCAATACCGTCATCTAGCTTCACCTCCACCCTCTACCTATGCGTCACTCCCGCCCATCCCAGGACCCAAGCAGTCGCTCTAGACTCTGAATACACTAAGTACTCGATCTTGATCCATCATCCACGGCCCTGGCGCTGCTGTGCTCGTCTCCACCCGACCAAGATGGTCCCGCTGAACTCTCTGCCCCGGTCAAGCTGAGACTTGACGCCAAAGTTGACCGCCCTACGCCGATCCAGCAGGGCTATGCCGCGCTACCTACCTCCAACGGCACACTTAGACGCCATATCGCGTCAGTCGAACCAAACGTTGAGTCGTTTGCTCGGTGCTGAAAGCGCCTCGCGATAGTACCACAGCTCGGACTGCATTAGAGTCGGCTGCCTCCGCGCGGTAAACCCATCCACCTCGCTTCGCTTCGAAACCCCAGCTGTGCTGAGCCGCTTGGTCAATATGTCATGTTGTCGCTGTCGGCTGTCCGACGTTAGCACCGTTGCGCCAGCCCGGCCATCATCCCATGGACTAATTAGTGTCGCTACTCAATCGGATGCTACATGGCTCCATTTTCAACGGCAGTCTCCTGGCTGGCATTGGGCTCATTACCAATTTGACGGTCGTGGCAAATGGTCCAACCAGAAGTCATAGACAACACAAGCCCAGGATTCATGGGCAATTGAGCCTTTCCAACGTTTCCGCAGATCGATATCGGCACCCTGGTCGTCCCAGGCCATCCGTCCCATCTCCAACCTCGTTACGGAGCATGCGCCGAATTCAAAGCTGTCTTGCCAACCTCAAAGCCACTGACTGACCCGAGCCCGGTGATATCATACCTGGCCGACTGCACGCAACATCGACCCTCCGTCTCGTTGATTTCTGGGTGACAGCAGTCTTCTAGCTTGAGCTCTAGTGAAAGCGCGCCGTCAATAGTGACGGACGCGCTGTTCATGTCGTACGAGGGGATTCCCGTCTCTCGTTCGAACCGTTTTGGTGCACAGTCCCAGCGAAACAGCGCCAATGAGAAATCGGAACGCGACGTCTGTGGTTGATAGGAGCTCAAGTACGCACTCGTTTATTCCCCGATCTCAATCTGGTAAGCTTACGGGATTGCCGATCACTGTGGCGTTCCTGACGGACAGGGGCCGCGTCGATTTCTGACGAATCATCACCTTTTGCATTTTTCCCTCTTACCCCTGGTACCTAGCATTTGGGGTCCAGAAGCGACACCATCATACCGGCATCTGCCCGAGACCCCAACTGACTGGTCTTAGACAACTTCATCCGGACGGGTCATATCTCACAGTATGTGCTTTATTCGTAGGTGCATGTCTTTGACACCTCACTGCACAAGAAGTATATAGACGGTATATGCAGCCTCCATTCTGCCAAAGGGGTTTCGATTCTAAGCCGTCCTAAGTACCTTATTATCGAAGAAAGTTAATTCTTTCTAAGTTATAAGTATAAGAATATAGTTTTAATAAAATAGTATAGTACCTACTTAGTACTTAAATTAAAATACTTTTTTAAGTTTATTATAAAAGAAAGATAATTATATTATTAACTACTTATTATCGAGGTCTATAAGTAGTATTATAGTTTTAATTACTATAGCTTTAATTACTATAGTTGTAATTATAATAATTTCGCTTATAATAAGCAAAAAGTCTAATTATAAGTTTTTTAAAAACCTCTTTTTAAAAATTATAAGAACTTCTAAATATACTAAGTTAAAATACTTATTAAAATATTAATAACTAAACTAACTTTATAATAACGATTTTAATAAAAAACTTAATAAATAATATTAAAAGCCTCGTTAACGTTAAGTACGATTTATAAAATATAATAACGTAATTATAGAGTATTATTAATATATTTTATATTAAAAAAGGTATTATTAATATTAATAAAATAAATAGAGCTATATTAATATAACGCCTCGGCTTTTTTTTATAGCTTAAGGATAATTACTTTAAATAATATTAAAAGTTTATTAAAAAGCTTTTTTAAATACTTTAATATATTTATTACTATTTTTATAATAATAAGACTCCTAGTACTTATATATAAAAATAAGTTACCTATTTCTAAATAATAATATTAGCTTATTAATAAGCTATTAAAACTATAATTTTAATAATTTCTTAATAAAAAAGAGGGTAAAATAGAGAAAAGGATAGGTAAAAAAAGGGTTAAGGTTAAATAGTACGGAATTCGAGGGTAGGGTAGCGTCTATATATACTACGGCAATCCTCTAGTAATGCAAAACGATGGAGTTAAATAGTGAATTTTTGAGTGGATTCCAAGCCGTCCAACGACTCGGGAAGGTAATTTCGACCTCTGGCGGCCTGCAAGACCTGTCTATCCAAGCCCAAAATGAGGTAGTCCGGCAACGTGGAGAGGAAGCATACGACCATGTCTCTGAGCAGACCAAAGCTAAACACCACCCCCGGGAACGTGGCTGAAATCGATTGGACACCAAGTTGTCGACTTACGAGAGACGTGGCTATGGGCTAAAAGTTCAACGTTCGGTTGGCGCATAGCATTCTACCAAGCCTCGTGGGCATCTTGTCCCACGCCTCTGGTGCTTGGCTGCATGGCGCCGTCGTCCCGGGACATTCATCCTTACCATCGGGGCCAATGGACATCAAATTAAGACCGAGATGCACCGCACGCATCGTGACCTTGTGGCATCTTCCGTCACCACTAGACGCGGTGGGCTTCTGCCGCCCAAGGTGTGGTTAGCCGACCTTAAGGTTGATACACCAGCATATCACAGGTCTCAGGTTCACGTTTTCCCACATTTTGATCTCGATTTAGGGTAAATGGGCTATCATCGCCTGCAAAAGATGATTTTTCTCGAATTTCGTCCGGAACCAGGTCTCGGAGAAATCAGATCAAGCGGGCCTCATCGCCTAGTCTGGCGGTTTCTTCACTCTGCTCCTTACTTCTGGGGCGGTCTCATTCATGATCCATCATCCTGCTAGCAGTGTCTTCGGCTCAGCTCAACGGATCCCGATGCCCGATTTAGATGCGGTGATGTCTAAACTCGTGATCTTTACAATCTTGAGGCTTTTCAGCTTTCGTATCCGAATGCCACTTCCGTCGAAACCAGCCCACCGGCTTCATTGCTTTAGTCAACCGCCAAGTCAAAGCCTTTCAGGCGCAGGGAGCTCAATCACACGATGCTATAAGCTCGATCAATCGATGGGATACGACATCCAAATATGCAAGTGTTGAATGGTTCCCGGTGGCGCTGCCGCGATGGCCCTAGTTTGCAGTGGAAGCCCGCGAGACAGACGTTTCGTAACCATTTCTCCTAACTGAGCGGGGTGGACCGCCTGCAGTAGCATGTCTTTGATGAACACACCAGATTGTCACATAGTTGGATTGCCATTTCAATGCATTCTAGACTCTCAGTGTCGAAAGGGAACGTTGATTGGCCAGAAATTGGATGCAATATGTAAGGGATCGCCCTGTCGGCATACCGTCGACATCTGCATTCTCAGGCTTGAGGCCTTTGGACTTTTACGTTTACGCACTGCTCCTCAAGTGATCAAGTTGCATGGAGCACGTGCCGCCTTCATCGTGATGTGTTGTGTAGCTTGACCTATAGCACTTCCTCTTAGATCATGAGATGCAGTGCTGCACGAGGCAGGGAGCGTTCTTGTAGAGATATTTTTTCCGTGGGAAACACTGTACAAACGCTTTATGTGCTGCAGTACTCCTGCGTAGACGGGACTGCTCTAGTTTGGGGAAGTAATTGATATTCTCGTCAAGTCGGTTTCATGACACAGTTCTCAGCGAACATCTTGCGGCAATACTGTGAGCAAACAAGCTCCGACATCTTCATCATCACCTCAATTGTACATCGAGACACCGAGCTTATCTCAAGGTCTAGTCATCAAACCAACCCTAAACGCTATTTCGTTGTAGCCTCTCAAGATGCATTATTCAAAAACTACTTATTATACCGACGGCCTGAACATGGTCAGCCCAGATGACCGAGGAAACTCCAATGGTGCATGAACCTTGCCTATCACAGACCAGAAAGCCAAGCCAATGATTTTGGCTTGGGAGGATGAATGGCAGATTAACTTCATCCCATGTCTCTCTCTCACTCACTCACTCTGATGGAAAAGAAATTCAAAAGTCGAAATTGGGAATCTGGTTTCAGTACGTGAGGATCGTGAGAGATTAAGTCGAAGGGATGATCTAGCCACTCCAGAAGGGAAGATAGCCTGGTTCCCAAAGACGTTGAACAACCTCGGTGCCCTGATGGCCATGTTACATATATACCGTCTCTTTGAAGGGCTGGCGATGGGGTACAATTCTGCTGCTGCTAGGAAGACTTTTCGCTCAGGGCATGGGATCATGATTTTGTCAGCTTAGGTTGAGTTGAAGATATACCCACTGCCAGTCGACACGCACAGCGACAATGGGTTTGTATAGCTTAGACAACAAGTCGTCTATGGAAAGATGACACACAATGGGGAGGACGAAGCTCAATATAATTTGGTCTTTTGACATTGTCAGCCATCTATCAAGCTTGGCCATGCCCAGAAATGTAAAAATATTCTTCCTTCTCACCCTCTCATTATCGCCACTCTCCAACTTCATCCAACATGCTTCTCCCCCTTCTTGTCCCATCTCAAGCATCGACCATCTTGACATCCTCCTCCGTCTTCTTCACTTCCACCGCCTCCTCCTCCTCCTCAGGCTTTCTCATCAGCCAGCCCATGAGCGACCAAACAAGCTTCATAGCCTCAAGCCGCTCCTCGAGCACGAAGAAATCATACCACGGGCTCCGGCGTGCCTCAACCTGTCCCCAGCTCCTGCGGACATCATCGTCGCCGCCCGTCTGCTCGGCCGCGCCCTCGAGCACCTCGAGAAGCCGTTCCGGCACGCGCACGCGCAGGACGCTAATGTGGTGGAACAGCGAGCTAATCACGTAGACGTCGTCGTACCCGACGCCCTTGACTTTTCCAATGGCCTCGTAGCGCGTCTTGCGGTCCCAGCTGGCCGAGGGCGGGCGGACCATGCGATAGTTGTCGTAGATGGACATGTTCTTGCGCGGCTTCTTGGCGGCGGGCTGGCCCCTCTCTCCGGAGCCGGAGGTAGCAGCCCCGGCAGCAGAGGCGGCGTCGTCCTTGTCGCCCTGGATGGCGTCCCGTTCGACCTCACGCCCAATGGGCCCGCCGGACCCGCCGCCCCAGCGCGGCTTCGTCGTCCACCACGCGCCGTCGCCAAACTTCTTCTCCGTCTTGCCCTCACGCGCCCGGTGCTGGGCCGTGAGAAGAGCGGCAACGAGCTCGCGGGCCAGGTCAATGACCTCTTCGTTTTCTTTATCAAACGAGATGCTCGCGCGCGCCGAGACGGCGGCGAGGGGCCCCTCTACGATGCCTTGCCGGGCCGCTTCGCGCGTGCGAGGGGTCCGGAAGATGAAGGTGCATCCGGAGGCGAAGTATGACGTCCTCGGGGTAGCGGCGGCGGCGGCTGCTTGCTGGTGCTTGGAGAGCTGCGTTTGCGACGAAGGCGCGGGCCCGCTGGTGATATGCAGACGGGGTTCTGTCCGGGGAGCCGAGACGTTGCAGCCGAAATCATATGCTACAAGCTTGAGGAAGGCTGTTAACAAGCTCTGGCGGTACTCGCCTGGCATCGACGAGCCGGTCGAGGTGCGGAAGATGCGAGGTCGTTCCGGGGTCTTTGGGTTGTCCCGCTCGGTCTTGTCGCCGTCGACGGTGACATCCTTGGCCTCTTGCGCCTCCTCGGTATGCACATAGGGGTTCGTGGGGTCATCCCAATACGTAGTGAAGGCCTCTAGGCACCTAAAGAACTCGTATGAGTTGCCTAGGCGTGCCTGCTGCTGCCCCTTGGGCGCGGGGATGCGCCTCACGGTGCGGAACGCATCCTCATTTGAGTGAGATAGCTCACGCTGACGGTCGAGAAAGGTCTGGCAGCCGGGCGACTGAACGCCATTGTTCAGAACCACTCGGGTTTCCGCGTTCTTCTCACGTGCCTCCTCAGGGGAGAGCTTGCCCCAGCCTTCAAAGTCGGGCAGGTAAGCGGAATCGGGAATGAGATCCGCTGTGGGAGCATCCGGGATGAGGTGTACCCCCAAAGCGTCGAATATGGCGGTGTTGATGTCTCCAGGGCGATAAATGTCCTGCAGGACCGA